TAGAGCCCACTGGAAACACTCATATTAGATCTTTGATTTAGAAACAACACACTTTCACCACAAAATACACAATTACAAACCCAAAACCGCATTAAAGTGATGCCTTGCACAAGATAGTCCCTCCAAACCCCATAAACGCAGTAGAGCAATTATAAATCAGGCTGGTGAACATATAACCTTCATATTCACCCACAGACCTGGTTTTAGCGCTTTCCCCCTCCCTCTTATTCTGTTTTTCTCACACTTTGGGTTGGAGAACACTGCTTTATAGCAATACAGACACTCTTGAGACAGTGGGGTGTATGTGTGAGAGAGAGAGAGAGGGGAGAGAGAGAGAGAGAGAGAGAGAGAGAGAGAGAGAGAGAGAGGTGTGTATGTGTGGGAGGGAACAATAAGCAATATCTCAGAGCAGTTTTTGGCTCTTCAAAGATGAAAAGCTTTGGCAGAGTAGCGTGTTGCTGTCAGAGATACCAAGTAGAGATGGAGCAGCATTCATGCTCTGTGTGAGCATTAAATTAAAGCCCGAACAAACGCCCTGTGACCGACCAGAATATTGTCAAATATTAATCCTGTGTTCTATATTCTGATCATATTCCTATTTGATTTCCAACTTCTGACTATAAAGGTATTTTGTGGCCTGATACTAAAAATAGCAATGCTACCAGAAGCTTTACAGATCAAAAAAAAAAAAAAAAGAGTCCTGGCATCCATATTTCAAAGGACAAGCTAATATTTATATTGCATGTATATGATTATCAGAGAGGATTATTTACTGTGTTTTACATACTTGTCTCTGCAAAGCAGATTTTATTAGAATTTAATGATTGACATTGGACTCACTAAAGCAATCTATTGAAATAAAAATTAAATGATAGATCTCAAAATGAATAGGTCTATTTTTTGTACATTATAAAAAAGTGATGCCTAATAAATCAATACTTTTTTCATTAAGGATACATTAAATTGATCAAAGGTGACAGTAAAGACATGCAGAATTTTACAAAAATTTATATTTCATATAAATGCTTTTCTTTTGAACTTTCTATTCAAAGCATCCATCCATCTGTCTATCCATCCATCATCCATATTTCAGCTAATTGCCAAGGTAATATTTCTCACACAAATTTTCCATAAAAATATTAAGCAGCACGACATTTTCAACACAATGTTTCTTGAGCAGCCAATCAGCATATTAGAATGATTTTTGAATGATTATGTGACACTGAAAATTGGAGTAATGATGCTAAAAATTCAGCTTGTTTATCACAGGAATAAATTACATTTGAATATATATTAAAATAGAAAACAGTGATTTTAAAATCATAATAAGATTTCAAAATATTACTGATTTACTGTATTTTTTATCATAAATTACTATTTTAAAAAATATATAATAATTTAAAGAACAACTTTTGAACTGTATACTGGCTATATTTTCTCTCTTTGCCAACTATACAACACAAACCCAAAGTTTTACATGGAAAGCTGATCAGATCCTGGCCCGAAAAAACATCTGTTGGGGAAAAAAAATGGTTTATGGTGTTATTTTGGTGTTGGCCAAATGATGAGTGCCCTCAGCTGATTCTTGGCACTTCCTTCTACTTTTGGGGATTTTATAGTCGCCACCTCTGTCCAGGACTCGCTCACTGAGAGTATTACCACACTGTTATGTGTAAAGCTGCTTTGGAACAGTTTATATTGTGAAAAAAGCTGTTAAAACACAGTGAAATCTAATCAAATGTTATTGCTACCGTCATGCAGTGAACAAATGTGGATTTCAAAAGAGGTAAATGTTGTGCAGTATGTTCAAACATGCAGAAGAGAGAGTGAGTGTGTATGTTGATATATACAGTAGATGTTGTTTACTGCCTCGTGCCTCCTATAGAGAGCACAAAGACGTCCCGCTGGGCTGCAAGGCTCTGGAATATTCCATAAGCGTGTCTGCTCTACCTTTCCATTCGCTCACCGAGAGACAGAAGCCCCAGCCATGCTGGGAATTCTCCACGGAGAGTCGCTTTTATCCGGAATTATCTGGAATTATCCCCATAGGGTTCGTAATGCCTGGCACACAGCAACTTCCTGGCTGTCAGTTTTCGCCGCCTGCGTTCTGCCACAGCCAGGGAAGGATGGACACCTTCAGTCTGGAATTTAATTAAGACCTCGCTGAACATGTCCTGCTGTGCTGGCAAATTCATGCCAGAACCAAAAAATCAAATGCAAGCACCGGCAAAATAAAGAACAACTTGACCCACTTCGATTGATCGTTGAAAGGTTTAGTCTGTAGTTTAACCTTCAGTACTTCTATCTATCTGCCTATCCATCTATCTATCCATCCATCCATCTATCCATCAATCCATCCATTCACCTTTTTACCTACAAACTTCAAGGTTTTTTAAACTACAAAATTTTCAAACAAGACTTTGTCAAGCCAACATTCAAAGTTCAAATCTGAATTTAAATTCAAGTTCCTGTTTGCTACCACGTTTAATTCTAATTCAAATTCAATTCAAAATGGAGCACAACCCTGATGAACATCTTAAAAAGATTAGATTCAATATACATTTTGACAAACATCTGCTGCATGTTGTGTGAACATCCGACAGGGAATGTTTCGGCAGACATACTGTAAGCAAATGCTAAAAACGTCATCCTCCAAATGAAAACTAATGCACATCTGGTCAACATACTTGTGCTACAGGGATGTGTCTCATTAACTCAATTCCTCTTATTGATAGTCATTTATATTAATCACCTACTCTCTCGCTTCTGTCCAGGTGTGGTACATGGACGGTTACCATAACAACCGCTTTGTGCGGGAGTACAAGTCAATGGCGGACTTTATGACGTCGGATAACTTCACGTCTCACCGGCTGCCGCACCCTTGGTCCGGGACGGGTCAGGTGGTGTACAATGGCTCCATTTATTTTAACAAGTTCCAGAGCAACATGATCATCAAGTTTGACTTCAAGACGTCCACCATAAGTAAATCTCAGCGTCTGGACAATGCGGGCTTCAGCAACACCTACCACTACGCCTGGGGCGGACACTCCGACATCGACCTCATGGTGGACGAGGGCGGGCTCTGGGCCATCTACGCCACCAATCAGAACGCGGGGAACATCGTCATCAGCAAGCTCCACCCTCTCACCCTGCATATAATCCAGACCTGGACGACCAATCACCCGAGGCGCAGTGCCGGGGAGTCGTTTATGATTTGCGGGACGCTCTACGTGACCAACGGCTACTCGGGAGGGACGAAAGTCTATTACGCCTACCAGACCAACTCCTCGACATACGAATACATCGATATCGTTCTGCAGAACAAGTACTCGCACATCTCTATGCTGGACTATAACCCACGAGATCGCGCACTGTACGCTTGGAATAACGGACATCAGGTCCTGTACAATGTTACGCTTTTCCACGTCATCCGCTCGGAGCAACTGTAACCTTGGAGGATTTGGTTGGGAGTATCTGAAGACAATCTTTAGGAATGTTCTTCAACAGATTGTTACAAAAATGCTATGCTGAATGAAAACTAAACCTGAACAATAGACATGTGGATGGAACATAGAACACAAAATCATAAACAGATGCCAAAAAAAATTAAATAAACAAAGCCACGCCTTTCTTTTTTTACAAAAGGACTTTACTTTATAGGACACAGTCTGATCAGATGTTTTCCAGAAGCACTAAAAAGACTTTTTATTCATGCTTTTCTGCACACTGAAATGAAGAGAACGTTGGGATTAGTTACAGACTAGCAGCCCACACTCAACCTCATAAACGGAGCGTGTGCAGGAAAACTGATGGTGCTTCACTTGGCAAACTAACATGGACGGCTTACCAGTCTGTGCAATATCCTAAGTCCAAATTGTATGCTTTGCAGAGCTCATTTCTAGAGGTAATATGAAAAAATGTGATTGGCTGAAGGCGCTGACTGTTGAAAGCTTGTTCAAAAGGCTCTTGTGAGATTTTACTTGAACGTCTCTGTGATTAAGTTCTCTAGATGGGGACCATATCATGGTATTTTATAATGACCTACATGTATGTAGCACCTGAGAACAGACCAAAGCGTGCTATTAAAGTCAACATGAAATCACACATTCCTGGTCTTAATATGCACAATTACCGTAACTTGCTCCGCCTCTAAAACGACCTTCCTTTTTGGATGACATCATCAAGAACTCTTATTTTTCAGCTCCTCAATTGAACATATCCATCATTTTGGTCATATTTAACAGCGCAATCAATACCCAGTGGATAAAAAGTCTCGTCCCATGGTTTTCTTGTCGAATATCCTGTTAACACAGAAACACATCATTTCATGTTGACTTTAAACCTTCTCTGGTGAGATTATCACCTTTCAGGCTACCGATACTCACATTGTTGTGCTTGTAAATGGATGTCAGCTGCATCTGCATCATGATTGCTACGTACGATACACCAACTCCACGTAACAGATGTGCCGGTTTTACCAGCAGATGGTTCAGGTACAATCTTACTCCGATTTAGTCTCTGTGCTGGTGAATTCTTGTAAAATGATTTCTTTAGTTTTGCATGAGCAGTTTCTCCATGCACAGGTGTGCTGTGCTCAAAGGAATGTTTACCTGTGTGATGCTGTACATGACAGATTTGGGATCAGGGATGGTGGGAAGGAGGGTTATAGTTTCTAGAAACCTGGGAATTAAAAAAAAAAAAAGATGCTTGTTTATATCTGGTACGTTTCGAGTGGCTTGTTTCTTAACGCCCATTGTTGATTTTTGTAGATTTACAGTTTGATGTTTTTTGTAATTTACAGTAGTACCGTCTGCTTGAGTGATGCTTCAGTGTCTTTGTTTTAGTTTGTTGGCGTTAGAAAGTCACATTTCTGTCACAAAAACTAAAAAAAAGATTGATATCAGAATGTAAAATGTCTCTAAGTCACTTTGGAGGACATCTAAAATATGAATATGAAACTATAACATCATTGAGCAGTCTAATATATAATGTAATCATTTTAACAAGGCTCATACGGTCTGAAGCTAATACATTAGCTGAAGCTAATTCCAGCTTTCATTATTTTTGCGCTTTGCTGGATGTGTGTTGTACCTGCAATACAATGATTATCAATAAAAGAGGATTTATATCCTGATGTCATCACTCGGTATTGATCTCTGAGTGTGTTTCATCATAGGGTCAAGGTTTCACCCCGGACCCTCCTTGTTGAAAGAAACCAGCACAAAATGGGATGCTGGTTTGTGCTCACCAAGCTGTTTAGCTACCTTAACTACTACCTTGATTAATCACCTTCACCAGCAATATAATGTTGGTTGACAAACTTCATCAGCTAAATTTTGCTGTTACAGATGCGGAGGACAGGGTGAATTAAATTTCATGAACACATTTCTGCATTAAACTGCTAAAAAGTTCTTATCATGGTATCTTGTTATGTAACATGATCAAAGGTTATTGCTTTCTGTTTCCTATTTTAAGCTCATGTCTGAAAAATATTCTGATTATTACTGTTATTATACAGAACTAACTACAGTCGAAGCCCAGCAGGCACAAACCATTTTCGCAACATTGCATTTTGGTTGCAATTTTCACAACTTTATAAAAACGTTCTAGCAACTACCAGTTACGCAACATGGCTCATCAAAAATGATGGCTTTCTATTTCATATTTTTAAGCACATGTCTGACAAATTTGAATATCTATGTGGTAAAACCAAATGGCAACCTCCCGCTCTCTCTAGTGATGCCAACATCGGGTGACGTCACGGACACTACGTCCATGTTTCTATACAGTCTATGGATAAAACGTACAAGATTGGACGTGGTAATGAGGTTCCTAAAACATTGCAAAAGGACACACTAACAACACCATAATGTTGTTGCAACATTGTGAAAATACATATTACACTAACAAACACCTGACATCTGTTAATGGTGTAGGATACCAAAAATCATTAAAACAACCTCTTCACAACAACAACATGCTGCACTTGCTATGATCCCACATGGGGCATAATGTAGCAGTGGCTAGCTCAACTAAAACACTGCTGAGAATTGCTAGGTTTTGTCCTTTCTGTTGAGGGCTCCAATTATGTTAAAATTATATACTTTGCAGATACTTTCTTACCCAAATGTAAGTGGTAACCTACACAAATCACATCACTGCCATCTACCAGGAGTGGAATGGAAGGAGCAGAAACACTAAAGAAACAGAAATGATTTTAGAAGGGACACTACTTTTTGTTTTTTCAAAAACAAAACTATTCCATCCCAAATGAAGATGCTAAGATACAAATGTTAAGACAGCGAACTGTGGAAATACACTATTTATCAATCTCAGATTAAAATAAAATTTTAGAACAATGTTAATTATGTGTCAATCTTTCATATATATAATTCTTATTGGATAAAATCAATTCCTGCCATAGATTTCGTACTGTTTATCTAGGAAATACTTCATCCCTGGAGCCAAATGAATAGCAAAAGAGAGAAGGCACATGTTGAAAAAAAAAGAAAAAAAGAAAAACCATTTCATCAAAATTCCAGAGGAACGGCTTCACCTTCTAAGTTAATAAGGGAACTGAAATGGGCAGTAATGCAGTGAGCAGAGACCTGAGGCAATGACTCCTCGTGTCCTGATGAAAATATGATGGGATTTGGGCAAAAAAGCATTTAGACGTTCAGAATAAGAAACTATCATCTCTCTGGAAACGGCCCTGAAAAGTCAAACACTTCCTTCTGAATCTCTCACTTCCTTTCTTTTTCTCTTTCCTTCTCCATTTAGAGAGCGTTCTTATCTCTCTCGTGTGGGTTTTTACAGTCTCTCTCGGTAAAGCGTAACAATAAATCTTCAATCTGCTAATTCCTCCCTTCCCCCTTCTCTCATCCTTCCTGTTTCTCCTGCCCTCCGTAAGCTCTTTCTCTCTATATTTCCCGCTGTAAGCTGTCCGCCCTGTCATCCTCTCCCCCTTCCCTTTTTCTCTCATTTGAAGTTTCAATCGATGAATAAATGATTGTTTCTATTCTGAGCTGCTCGGTCTGGGAGAAATGGAGAGATTGAACAAAATACAGAGTGAAATAACAGACTCACGCTGTGTGAAACAATGCACCATCGTTTGGACTGAATCAATCTACATCTTCTCGAGAGATTCTTTTCTCCAGCTCAGCTCTTCTCTTCACATCTGTCATCTTCCACCTCTTCATCAATCACTCTTTCTCTCGCCTTTTTTCTCTCTCTGCCAACCAGTTACGCCATGGATGTTCCACTTGTGGCCCGTGGGCCAAATACGCCCCGTCAATCATTTTTATACAGCCCGATGACACACGAGAGCACTCTGTGTGCTAAACTCAACAGGCATCAATTATAGCAGAGTACGGCACATATCGTGACCATGTTTAAGGTCTTTCTGGCAAAAGTTCAGCTAACAGTTTCTCATACACAAACTGTAACAATGTCATACGTTCATTCTAAAAATCACACTGAAACTCTGTTTTTTTTTTTTTTTTTAGATCTGGCTCCTGAAATGAAGTCGGAAAGCCCTGATATGGACTGAATCCCAATCTGCATACTAGCCACTCTTAGTATATTAGCATTATATGTCCCAAATTCATATGACTTTGAAAACAGGAAGGAAAATGTGTACCGGACGGTACAAAAATGTGAAAAGTTCTTAATTTTCACTCAGAAATCGCTAGTCAGTCTCATCATTAATTACAAAGAAACAGTAAGTAATACATTGAATTATACATTAAATTTAGTAGAAAGACTGAAATCAAATATACAATAATTTAATATAACAATATCATAATTATTTGCTGGAAATTAAACCAAAATAATTTAGATGAAATAATGCATGAATAATTTTTTTTCAGTGAATTAAATAATTTACTAATTAATGTGCTTCATCTTACTTGATTATTTTCTCTTTTGATGAGCAAAAAACAAAAATGAGTATTCAAAAAAAATAATAAGCTTAACGATAAAAGACTCAAAAGTAAATTATGAAATAAAGTAAATTATGAAAATAAGTCACATGCATTTGTATAGTGCTTACACAATACATATTGTATAAATTGTATAAATTTAAAGCAGCTTTAAAGTAATAAAAAAGGAAAATAAAAGAATCAATTAAATGCAAACTTATTTAAATATGATACAAATTCAAAAGTTGTAAAGCAGCCTTAAAAACACAATAGTCATTTATTCAGCTCATGTCAGTTCAATGATGATTCAGTTCAGTTCAATAACAGAGTTGATCTTGCAAAATTAATCCGATTCCGAAATGAATTCGAATCAGCTATAAAGCAGCTCTACAGAAGTGTCATATTCAGTTCAATTCACTTTTTTCAATTCAGTTTTGTTTTGCTCTCGCCCGACAGTGTCAGTGCCATCAAATTAATAATATTACTGAGTATCAGTTGTCTTTAAAAGTCCAACTAAGCAATCCAAAGGCGACAGTGGCAAGGAACCGAACTCCATCAGGTGACAGAAATGGAGAAAAAAAAAACCTATATAAAAAAAAAAATCTAAAATGAGCAATCTGATTGGATAAACAATTAAATTCCACTTTGTTTTGTCCACTTTGTCTTATTTCATAATTATAACTTAGAACAGTACATACTTCTCATATGTAAAATTATGTAAATTGGGCAGGCAGATTAATCTGGGCATTATGATT